TCCTCTATGGTCTCCCCCCTATTCCCTCTCTGCTGTTGGAATATCTCCTCTATGGTCTCCCCCTATTACTTCTCTGCTGTTGGAACATTTCCTCTATGGTCTTCCCCCTATTCCTTCTCAGCTGTTGGACCTTCTCTTGAATGGTCTCCACCCTATTCCCTCTCACCAGTTGGACTATCTCCTCTATGGCCCCCCCATTCCTTCTCTGCTGTTGGACCTTCTCTTGAATGGTCTCCACCCTATTCCCTCTCACCAGTTGGACTATCTCCTCTATGGCCCCCCCATTCCTTTTCAGCTTTGGGACCATCTCCTCTATGGTCTCCCCCCCTATTCCTTCTTCCTCCTAGATTTGGACATTTTCAAGATTCTTTCTCCTTCCCTTGTTACACGGCCAAGCCTTCCGAGATGCTTCTTTTCTCGTACTAGAACTGAATATCTTCGTCTCCGTTGTGTCTCTTATTTTTCCTTTCTGTCTCGATTGGCTTATTGGAATTTTGTAAGTAACATACGTAGTACAGAGAATGGTTCACATTGCTTCCTTACAGTAGATCATCGTTCCAACAATGCGATCACGTAGAAGAATGCAACTACATGGTACATGAATGTGTAATCCTGGAGCAGGGAGGCGTCACGGTCTTAACAGAGGATGGGGGAAAGGCCCCTAAGAAAGTATAGCATGAAACGAGGGGGGTAGAAGAATCTGAAGAGGAGGAGGAGGAGGAGGAGGAGTATCAGGTATAACCATACTACTAGGGGGGTCCCATAGCTTACTAACACCAATCATCTTAATGAGTAACGGAGACCTGCATGTCCCCAGCCTACGGCCCACAACCAATTGGTCTCCCGTCCTGCATTCAAAAACCCCGATAACTCATGGGGTCCATCCCAGGATGACGAGATGAGAGCCATGGTTCCCAAACCCTTAGGAACATAGAATGTTTGTCCTCCAAGATGCTAGACAGTCGTTCATTAAGCATGATATTGTCTAATCGGTAGGGAAGTTGTTTCTTCTTCCGGTTGCCTGCCAGCGTCAACTTGGCCGCTAGAAAAACAAAGCGTGCCAGAGCCCGTTGAGGTTTAGTTAGGCCGGGTATAGACAAGTGGAAGAGGGCGTAGTGAAGGTTTATGGGAATATAGGTAACAAAAAGAGGACCAACTAGTTTGAATATCTTGATCCAAAACCGATTGACTAACGGGCATCGCCACCAGATGTGTTGCATGTCTCCCGACACCCCCGAAAACAGGTGCCCGAGGATGTGGGGAACAGGCAAGACACTCTAGCCGGGACCAGATACCACCTCATTACCACCTTATAGGCCACCTCGGCATTTGTAACGTGGATGGAGCATCGTGCTATATTCCTCCATAGTTGTCGCCATTCCTTCAAGGACCATTGCTGCTGCCGTAGTTCTGGAATCCTGGACCCCATAGCCGCCCTGTGCTCTGCCTAGATTTCCTGGAGGGACTCTATGGTTGTATATATTTATTATGGTGCCCGGGCAGTAGAATGGTTCTAGTTCTTCTTATCCCATGACCGCGTTGTGGTCTATGCGGCACGGGAACCTTATGTTTTCTGTGTCTAAAACGCATAACCGAGCTGCGTTAGCCACGTGACCCGGGTCTGCCGTAGGAGCCATGCGTGGTCTATACTCTACATTTCTTTACTGTGCTTGTTCCGGGCAGATGATGGTGAATGGTGGACGTGCCGTCCTCTGGTCTCATTCCTCTCGTTCATTCCTCTTCCAGACCCTGTTCTGCTTGATCCTCGCACATCCTGTATAGGGTCCAAAACAAGTAACCGCAGTGAACGTGGCAACTGATCGGCCTTCACCTCAACGAAAGGGAGGAATCCTCAGATTATGTGCCGGTTTAGGTTGAAGCAGACCTCCATTTTTGTCCCTGTTGAGGAGATTTCCATTGATTTCCTGTGCTCATGGCCACACAGGAAGTGAGAAGACTCTCCCGAAACCACTTGACATACGTTGGAGGTTCTAATTCCTCCCAAGGTGATCACACACGAAGTGGCATCTCATCAGGATGGCCACACAAGAGGTGGAATCTCATCAGGGTGGCCACACAAGAGGTGGAATCTCATCAGGGTGGCCACAAGGTGTGAATCTCATCAGGGTGGCCACACAGGAGGTGGCATCTCATCGGGGTGGCCACACAAGAGGTGGCATCTCATCGGGGTGGCCACACAAGAGGTGGCATCTCATCGGGGTGGCCACACGAGGTGGAATCTCATCGGGGTGGCCACACAAGAGGTGGAATCTCATCGGGGTGGCCACACAAGAGGTGGAATCTCATCGGGGTGGCCACACAAGAGGTGGAATCTCATCGGGGTGGCCACACAAGAGGTGGAATATCATCAAAGACCTCCAGAAAACCTAGAGCAGGTTGGAACCCTTCTTCATTATAGTCAAATATGATAAAAAAAGGTTTTGGTGGTGCCACCTTTGGACTTCAAATGTCCTTCTCGGAACCCGACATAGGATTCCAGCAGATGCTGCGTGGCCCCCAAAGGGAGGAGCCGGCCGTTGGTCAATGTACTCTACACCGGGGGGATAGAAGATGGCCGCCTCCTGGATCTCTGAATAACCAGCAGAGGACGGGAGACGGGCAAAAAGATTCCCCCCAAAATGATGTCTTTCGTTGGCCGTCTGTCACTGAGGGGACGTGACTGAATGGCGCACAGTCTGGCCGTGAGCTGATCCGTGTTCTGATACCGGACTGCATTGACCAATCACATGGAGGCTGTTGCTGATAGACCTAAAATCCCCGCCGATCCGTCATTGTCCTCTGTCACATGCTACTGCAGGTCCCGTCACGTGCCGCCATCTTCCTTTTTACGGTGTGGGGAGCCGGCTGTCTCTTTCTGGTTCTTGCAGTTGACACACAGGAGGTTCCGCCCTCTAGTGTAAACGCACAGGAGGTGCCGCCCTCTAGCGTCTGCGCACAGCGGGCGCCGCCCCCTAGCGTCTGCGCACAGCGGGCGCCGCCCTCTAGCGCCTGCGCACAGCGGGCGCCGCCCTCTAGCGTCTGCGCACAGCGGGCGCCGCCCTCTAGCGTCTGCGCACAGCGGGCGCCGCCCTCTAGCGTCTGCGCACAGCGGGCGCCGCCCCCTAGCGTCTGCGCACAGCGGGGGCCGCCCTCTAGCGTAAAGCCACAGCACACGCCGCCCCTAAAATATAAACGCATAACAAGTGCTGCACCGTAGTGTACACACACAGCAGGCGCTGCCCTCTAGTGGAAACGCACAGCAGGCGCCGCCCTCTAGTGGAAACGCACAGCAGGCGCCGCCCTTGTGTATCCTTTGTGGTGGTCTTTGAGACTGAATTGCTTCACAGTACGAGCAGCTACAGAGGTCAGGGATGACTTGTTTTAAAGCTCTGTAACATCTCATTGAGAATATGTAAACCTTGTAATGTCCATAGTCTGGGTACAGATGCACTGTTAAGCCACACCTGCCTGTACTAGCTGAGCCTCTCCACTTTGCATGTAGTCACTTTTACATACGTTTTGGTATCAGAGATGCCGAATGAGATCAGAGCCTGTCCAGCCGTCCCCTCCTAAAACCCGTCCTCCCAGCCTTACCAACAAGAGAACATCATGGAGATGCCCAGGCCTTATCGTGTTATTACATCTGAACCTTTCTTCAGTGCTAGAGAAGTACAGAGGCCCAGTGATGACATCACCGGGACTAAAGATATGCCCTTCTGTCCCGGCAAGTATCGCCCTTCTGTCCCTGCAAGTATCGCCCTTCTGTCCCGGCAAGTATCGCCCTTCTGTCCCGGCAAGTATCGCCCTTCTGTCCCTGCAAGTATCGCCCTTCTGTCCCTGCAAGTATCGCCCTTCTGTCCCTGCAAGTATCGCCCTTCTGTCCCGGCAAGTATCGCCCTTCTGTCCCGGCAAGTATCGCCCTTCTGTCCCTGCAAGTATCGCCCTTCTGTCCCGGCAAGTATCGCCCTTCCGTCCGGGCAAGTATCGCCCTTCCGTCCCGACAAGTATCGCCCTTTCGTCCCGGCAAGTATCGCCCTTCCGTCCCGGCAAGTATTGCCCTCCTGTCCCGGCAAGTATCGCCCTCCTGTCCCGGCAAGTATCGCCCTTCTGTCCGCTGGTCCCTCACATGATGTACGTCTCTAGTAGATTGTGTGCCGTGACATCAACGGGGACTTCTGGTACCTCCTTAGTGGACTCCGACATCCCCTCACCCGGCCAAGTCCTGACCCTCTCACTATATTCACCTCATACCACGGAATGAAATGTTTGGCAGAGCATATGCTGTTCTACCGTGTTTCCCCCGAAAATAAGACACTGTCTTTATATATTAATTTTTTTTTTTCTTATTTTTGGGTAAAGTCTTATTTTTACCTGGCTGCGGCTGTCAGTACAGGATAGTCCCGGCGGCCGTCAGTACCGGGCGGGGGTACCCACGGGACTGGACAAAGTTCCGGAAGGTGGAGTGCTCTTGCCGGTCCCGGTGTCGAATTTGGCGGATGATATGCCGCTTCCATCGGGGGGGGGATGGGGGGCAGGGTGGACATGTGTGGGGGCGGGAGCTGCGGCCGGTGTTGTGTCGAATTCTGTTCTGCGTCGATATGTGTTCCCTTTGCCGCTTGGCTATTTCCGTAACCGCTCTATCTCCCTTCAGCTGCATATGAATCTACATAGCCCCGCCTCTGTCCCGCCTCCGCCCCGCCTCTCTGGAAGCTCCGGTTTTCAGTTAGTTGGAGACACAACACCGGTCTTGACATTTAAAAATTTAGTTACATGTGCAGCTACCCCGGAAGTAAGACCTGTCATATAAGGCCCCATTCACACGACCTTCTCCGTTCGGCTCCATAGAAAAAAAACAAAATCGCGCAAAATCCGCCGAAAAAAGGGTTCTGTAGAAGCGACCGCGACATGGAGCTAAGACAGCTCCATTGACTATCATTAGCCGGCGACTTCTCGCGAAATCGCGCGGCAAAAATGCGCGATATCGCGGTGGAAATCGCGCGATAAGTCGCTAGATGTGAACGGGGCCTTAGACCTACCCCCGAACTAGGTCTTACTTTCGGGGTAGGTCTTATATTACAGAAATCCCCAAAGATAGCGCTAGGTCTTTCTTTCGGGCTAGGTCTTTCTTTCGGGGTAGGTCTTACTTTCGGGGTAGGTCTTACTTTCGGGGTCTTTCCGGGTAAGACCCCGGGTAAGAAAGGTCTTACTTTCGGGGTAGGTCTTACTTTCGGGGTAGGTCTTACCCTAACCCTACCGGGGTAGGTCTTACTTTCGGGGTAGGTCTTACTTTCGGGGTAGTTCTTACCCTAACCCTACCGGGGTAGGTTTTACTTTCGGGGTAGGTTTTACTTTCGGGGTAGGTTTTACTTTCGGGGCAGGTCTTACTTTCGGGGTAGGTCTTACTTTCGGGGTCTTACTTTCCGGGTAAGAAAGGTCTTACTTTCGGGGTAGGTCTTACTTTCGGGGTAGGTCTTACTTTCGGGGTAAGTGTCATGCTTTTTGTTCTTGTGGAATTGACCTTCATAATTTCTTTTTTTTTTTTTTCTATTCCTTGTGCCATAGATGAACCAGACAATGGCCAATGGTCCACCGCAGGAGAGCCCGAGGCAAAGCCACATGTATTACCCTCAGCTTAGGCCGGGCTACATCGCAATTCCAGTCCATCATGATGGTGTGGACAACCAACAGCAATACCTGTACTACAATCTACCGCAGCCAGCCAAGCAGAGAGTCAAGTGTGAGCCTCCCAAGCGGCCGCAGTCTCCCCAGGTTGGCTTCAACCGCCCTCAATCTCCTGCTTGGAACGCACCAGAACCTCCTCAGCCGGAGAGACCCAGCAGCCAGCACTCTGGATCTCCGCAAGGACCATCGGTAATGCCTCTTGAACACGTAGCAGGCAGTCTAATTTGTGACACTGTTGTCCCGTTCCTTAACCCAGAATCTTTATATTTTTCAGCCGCCTCCTTCTGTCGCGGACTCGAGCAGCCCGTCGCAGTCTCCTGGCTGGCAGGGCCCCGGGAGACCAAGCGCCGGGAGTCACCCGTTACCACGGGGCTATATTCCTATACCGGTGATCCATGAAGGAAACGGGACCCGCCAGTCTCCTCAGAATGTCCAGCAGGCGCAGAAGACCGTCTACCCGCAGCCCGACTATCAGTCTCACCACCCAGTGTTCCACAAAGTCCAGGACGAGAGAGACTCCAAGCAGCCAGTGAAAGGAAAAACGATGTCTAGTCGAGACAGTTCCCCGTCCAGAGTGAGCTCGCCGTCTCCATCTTCTACCCGAGTTCAGGTAAGTGGAAGACCTCCTGTGATAACATTATACTCTAGTACAGGGCTCAAAATGTCAAGTCCTGAGCTACCGTGTTTCCCCGAAAGTAAGACCTACCCCGAAAATAAGACCTAGTTCGGTGGTAGGTCTTATATTACAGACATCCCTGAAGATAGCGCTAGGTCTTACCTTCGGGGTAGCTGCACATGTAACTAGATTTTACATGTGAAGACCGGCCGCAGCTCCCTCTCGCCCGTCCACCTACCCGCACGCCAACCTATCTGTTGCTCTCTGGATGGCATCAGAGCAGAGAGGCAGCTCCCTCCCGCCCCCCTGCCAGACACGCCCCCTCGCCCGCCCACCTGTGTTTTTTTCTTAGGAGCCC